ATATAACTAATAGATATAAAATATTGATTACTAATAATATATTTATTTATTTTTTTGTTGCTTCAACTATATCTCGGGTTCTGTATGCAGCTGGAGGAACCAGGGGGAACATCCCTTCCCCTCCAAAGCCAAAAAAATTCAGAAGCCAGTTATGTAAGATAAATCAGGTGTACTGAAGAGGAATTCGTTAAATAAGTGTACGCGTTACAATCTAATCGAAGTTCCGAGCTGATCCTTACAGTTACTTAGTTACATTTTTTAAGTAACTCGCAACCGTACCTAATTATTAATAATCACTCATCATCATTCACGGCTGAAATGAATACGCTACTAATTTATTCTACGAATCAATTAATTAATACTTATATTTTATTTTACATCTATACCCATTTTTTTTAAAATTTCCCGCCAAATCATTTCAAAACGATTTGAGATTTGAGATTTGACGAAAATTAACGGGAAAGGCGCTAATATTTTGGGAAGAAGATTAGTTAGCAAAATGGAGTTGGAACGAATTTTCAATAAATTATAATGTCATTTGTTGAGTTAAAAAAAAAGAGAGCTAGCTTCTAACGAATTTAATTACGTAAAAGATTTCTTAGATTATGGGGATGGGTTAGGAATCAAAAGCTAAAATGGATTTCTTTACTAAAAATCATCAATTTTCTAAAGAATACGAAAAAAAAAATAGATTTAAAAGATTTTACCGTTCTTCCTTTGCATAAAGAATGATCGGAACAATTCCTAGAGTGGCATTTATCCGTGCCCCTCACGTGTACAGTATTGTTTTTATTATTAGCCTTAGTAGTATTGACCTGATATTTATTAACACTTTTCGAGATACTTCCTTGTTTAAATATGGCTACTTTCTTCGATACATTGAGATCAGTAAAAGTAAAAAATTTCTTCGGTAGCAGCGTGGATCTACGTAAGGAATCGCGTTGTCCGCCATCCCGAAGAGCCCCGGATTGATTAAACCTTCTTGAACTACCTCTCAACCGGGGTATATTCGGAGAAGATATTTCTCTGACATTGTCCCAGTTAATATCTGAAAGATATGCTAAAACGGAGGACTTCTTCACGGAATAATGGCCGGCGTAATCGAGCAAAATTACTAAATCTAGCATCAAGATGAGAATCGTCAGAAAATACTTCCAAGAAAATTTAAAGTTGTAATGATGATATCTACCGGATGATTTGAAAGTAAATTGGGATAACATGAGGGTTTCGGTTCAAGTAGCGCGATTATTTGAGGATATACGATAAGCGAGACTTTAAAAGAAGAGCTATGAGATTTTTGCCGATAAAATATAAGATTTTTTAATTTATTTTCTTCTTTATATATTCTTCCAAACGTTAAATTTCAAGAAAATCGATCATTTTTATTCCAAAAGAAAAAAATGAAATATTTTAATATTTTAATATTTTTTTTTTAAAATTAAATGAAATATAGTATTTAATTTAGTTTGATTTGCTTAACTCCGCAAAAAATTTCTAGTTTTGTTTTTTGTGTATAAAATATATACAAAAAAATATTTTGTTTTAAAATAATTTTTAAATGTTTTTTAAGAAAAAGACGTCATTCAATTTTATTTCCCATTTAAATTTAAAATATTATTTATACATATAAAAGGTGTATATAGTAATATTTATTTATTTTGGCGATATATGTTTCAAATTTTTATTTACTTTTTGCTTTTTTTAAACTTAAAATTTTATATATGGAATAAAAATCGAAAAAGTATTATGAGTTATAACGGTATCTTAGTAAAGCGGTGTTTGTTAAATAGCCCGAAAGAAAGAAAGAAAGAAAGAAAGAAAGAATGAAAGAAAGAAAGAAAGAAAGAAAGAAAGAAAGAAATAAAGAAGGAATTGAAACTATTTTTTAAAATGGCCCTGTTAATATAAGCTAAGATGATATCTTGTGAGTATCGAGATTTTGGCGAACAGATGTTCCAAAGCATTTTTGCCAGCTAAGGAGCAAAGTCTTAGAGGGCTAACAATAGGGTTTTTTTAGGTTATAAATTTACGCTATTAGTAAGGGCGTGGTATACCTAATTAACACGCCTGCCACCGCGCCACCGAGGCGATAACTCTACAGGAAATAGAAAATTTGCCGATTTGTTTCTTTCTTTTTTCTCGCTTTTTTTAAAAAATTAATTATAATTTTAATTTTATTTATTTTTTTTTTATTTTGGGGAAAAAAAATGGAAACGTAAATATTTGCATAAATTATGCTTATAAATTATTAACTTTATTCAAATTTGTTTAATTAATTACGAATTAATTTACATTTTTATATAATAAATGAAAAAGAAATGAATGAAAGAAAGAAAGAAAGAAAGAAAGAAAGAAAGAAAGAAAGAAAGAAAGAAAGAAAGAAAGAAAGAAAGAAAGAAAGAAAGAAAGAAAGAAAGAAAGAAAGAAAGAAAGAAAGAAAGAAAGAAAGAAAGAAAGAAAGAAAGAAAGAAAGAAAGAAAGAAAGAAAGAAAGAAAGAAAGCAAGAAAGAAAGAAAGAAAGAAAGAAAGAAAGAAAGAAAGAAAGAAAGAGAACCGAACCCAGTTTTATTATGGCACACAAGAAAAGGGGGTCGAAATGCGTTTTTTTCACCGGTGGCTTCCCTATTCCTGGCGGAAATTTTAGCTATGATGATCTTACACCTCGGGTTTACTTCTTCTTTTTTTAAATATACATTTCAAGTTTTGTGCCTTAAAAAGAAATCATGTGTTATTGATTCGAGCCCCACCAACTTATCCACACCTAGATTAATTATGAATCTCGTAGGTATGAAAACTTGTGGCTTGTGCCCTCGGCAAATTAGTAATATGAGACTATACAAGAAGGAAGGTTCTTTCTTTCTTTCTTTCTTTCTTTCTTAGAGAAGAAGAAGAGAAGAGAAGAGAAGAGAAGAGAAGAGAAGAGAAGAGAAGAGAAGAGAAGAGAAGAGAAGAGAAAGAAGAGAAGAGAAGAGAAGAGAAGAGAAGAGGTCTGGGTTTAATGCGCAAACCCAAGCCCAAAACCCCAAGAGATTTAGAAAAAAATATATATATAATGATCTCAAACAATTCTCTTTTTATATTCCTATTATCCCGCCTCCCCCCCCCCCCCCATTACACAAACGTCCATTTTTTTCGCCAATTACATTAAAGTTTATTTTTCTTAAAAAAGGAAATTTTGGATCAGCTATGGAATAATATGATTTGAACTTATATGTATATTCCAGATTAATGTAGGAAATAACTACCCTATAAAATTTGGGAACAAATATAAATGGCGGTGTGATCAAGATCTTAGCCAAAATGATATTATGAGAGCCTCGAGATATGGCAAAAAAACAAATCCCTCCAGGCTTAATCATATCTCGGGGCTCGGTTCCGGGCAAGCTCGGTAACACCTTTTACATCGGAACCAATCCCCATATAAGAGACGGGCAAGCTCGGTAACACCTTTTACATCGGAACAAATCCCCATATAAGAGACGGGCAAGCTCGGTAACACCTTTTACATCGGAACCAATCCCCATGACAGTCTGGCCAGTATGGTGACCGGTTAACGGACAATATCCGCCCAACTGCGCCAGCTTATCCGCAATCTATGCGCCAAATCTACAGAATTATAAAAATATTATTGATATGTTTGGACCGATGGGTCCCCCAGTCTGAATGGGGAAAATACAGTCCGTGATCGGGGGTCCTGGATGGTCGATGACGGAATCCAGGGGGGGCGGGTTTTATCGATTTTGTCATGGAATCACTTGGACAACGTTAGTTAAAATGATATTTTCAAAGTTTATTCCACAAAATACAATGGAAGTTACAAAAAATATAAATTTTACAAAACGAAAGAAACGAATTAATCCGCTAAAAAGGTTCCTTTTTTTTCAACCTTCATAATTTTTCAAAACAAAGAGAGGAAAAAAAGAAAGAAGTTGTTATTTAATCGCGATACAATCATTCATGAAACTGGTGAGAACCAGTTTCAAACGCAATATAAAAATAAGGTATGATATATCAATTTCGTAACAAAATAAAGGAAGATGGGAAAACAAAAGAAACAAGTGGAGAAAAACGTAAAGAAAAGAAATAAGTTGTACGGGACCGGGGCTTAAATGTTCGGCCCCAAATCCGGGGGGGGGGGCGGAGTTTAACGACATTACTATTAGCCTTTCGGCGCGCGTGCGCTGTAAGGTATATCTTTATTTTTTTAGATTTATTGTTTGTTTGTTAATCCTATATGAATTAGTGATGGGTATCGGGCCTAATTTTCAAAATCCGACCCGAAATTTTTTTATAAAGTTTTGCCCGGCCGAACCCGGGTTCGGGTATTACCATCTGAAATGTTAAATATTGTTAAATCGACGGATATTATCTTTTAAAAGTATCGTTAGCGAGTCTGCTAACCGGTAATGTAGTAATAATAATCAATAATTTTTTTTTATAAGGGATAACGCAAACTAACAACTATATATAAAACTAATTCCTAAAATATATAATTTATTTTTTTTTATAAATATCTAATATATATATTATTTATATTAATTATAAATCATATTCAAAAATTACATTTAAAACCTAATAAAATAATTTATTTTTTTTATTAAAATTATATAAAATATAACCCTACTAAAATATAATAATTTGATACAATTATAATGAACAAAAATATATAAGTAGAAATTCTTGTATATAATAATAGACGTAGAAAAATATGCAAAATATTTTATTAAACGGAAGAATCATTGGTTTTTTTTGTTGGAAGATCATCTGTATTACAGTGTTGACAAAGGGCTCTAACTCAACATTTCATCCAGAAAAAATATCACGCAAGCCTGAAGATTTGGTTAATAGAAGGGATCAAGACAATATTTTTTCTGGATAAAATATTGAGTCAGCCGTTTAACAAACACTAGAATCTATAATATGATAGGTTTTGCTTCAACATTCTACTAATATTCTCTCTTTTCTTTTCTCGTTTGAAGCTAAGATTTAAAATAAATAAAATTAAAAAAAAAACAATATATTTTTTTAAAGGAAATATTTAATGGAATGAAGCTAGACTGACGACCCATTCCTTTATTGAAAGTGAACGTATATTAAAGTGTCAGCTATAGTCAAATATCATTGGCTGTAGCAGGCAGTGACGTCACTAGAATCTTTACAAAATCGGGGGAAAGATTCTCAAAGATTATTTTTTTAATTTTCTGAATTTTTTTTTAAAAATATTTTTTAAAAATAAAAATAAAATTTATAAAACGATATCAAAATAAATTTTTTTTATTTTTTTTTTAACAAATAATGAATACATTAAAAATTATATGAAAGTAAAAACATAAAAAAACACTGAAAATGGAAGAAAATCACCCTAGAAGAGAAGTGGATGCTTAAGAAATTGCTAAATCTGCTGACGGAGGTAGAATACCAAGACAAAAAGAACTAAAAATGGCAGGAACATAGAAGAGAAGTGGATGCTTAAGAAATTACTAAATCTGCTGACGGAGGTAGAATCCCAAGACAAAAAGAACTAAAAATAGAAAAAACATATCACTCTAAAAGAGAAGTGGATGCTTAAGAAATTTCTAAATCTGCTGACGAAGGTAGATCCTAAAGACCTCTTTTTTTTTAGTTATCCATTTTTTAAACTATTTAGCTTACATTTTTAATTTTTTAAAAAATTCCTAAGGAACTCATTTAATTTTTCAAAAATCTAGAACCCCCTGTGCCAACCCCCCTTCCCATCTAGTGACGCTACTGGTAATAGCCGCCATTAAAAGTCGTTTCTAGACATTTCCGTCTAAAAATGCCTTTTCAAATGGCTGATTTCGACGGTAAGCGTAATTTTTTTTTTCGAAAAAAATAAATAAATCGAATGGGTCAGCCCTACGTCACTCATTTAAATGCCAATCAAATAAAATACCATAATTTCGATCATATTTATTTTCCTTTCAATCCGTTTTGTTGCGATCGTGTCTGCTAGAAATTTTGTGAAAGAAGTTATTAACGATATTTTTGAAATCGGCCATGAGCGCTTTGGCTTCTTTAGCTCTTGGACCATCGGAGGAGAGTATTTGCTGCTTTGAGGTGCAGTCATCCTTTAAAATATAAAATAAGAGTAATTAATTAATACACTAATGTTGTCAATAAAGGGGGGTGTTAGAGAGGCGCATTAATACAGTGTTGTTAAACGGTTTAACTCAATTTTAGTTAATATATGTCTGGACCTTTGTTCCTTCTATGAGCAAAATCTTCAGGGTTGAGTGATATTTTTCTGGATGAAACACTGAGCTAGCCGTTTATAAAAATCTAACAACACTAGGGAGAGGAGATCTAATCAAAATTTATGGCTTTAAACTCTTTTCCGACATTTATAAACTTCCATCCTTGGATACCCCCTCAAAAATACTAAGGTAAACGCCACTAACGGTTCTAATAAAAGTTCTCAACAATTTTAAGAATAATTACTTACTGAAAAATGTTTGCTTTTTTTTCAAGCTTTATCTTGACGTGGTTCTTTATAATTATAGGTTCGAAATCAAAAATATTATTTAATAAATATAATATAATAAATGAATATGAATGAATGAATGAGCCCAGAATAATTATAAAAGAAAGTAATTTATTTTAATTTTTTTTTTACGTCAGCTTTGATTTTGTCGTGTCGCTTTTTCGAAATTTTTTTGTCGGTTAAATTCGTCGTTTTCGTAGACGAAAGAGTTTTGCTTTTTTGTTTTTTTTTCAAAAAAACAGGTTAAAATGTCAATCTATATTGTCACGTGGTGCTAGGGTCCGCCATATTTTTTTCGAAAAAAAAAATAAAACGGGAAAATGAGTAAGGTAAATGTTCCCAATTTTTCGAAGAAATCTGGATCCAAAGACTTGCCCTGAATTAACAGTTTGTTAGAATTCGCTATGAAGATAGCCACGAATTCGCACTTACTGTGAATTCGGGTTTAGGGAGCTTTTAAGTCGCATTAGCTAGGTAATTATATTATAATGTAATACCCATTTATTTTGATTTTCTTAGAAACGTTACTTGATTTAGATAGTTTGGGAACGGAATATGATTGGTCATTAATTAAAATGATCATTAATATTAGATTAATCTACTATACTTTAACTCAAATATCAAAGTTCAATAAAACTTTTTAATTGTCCAAATTTTGATCTTTTTCGTGTCGTCGCTATTGGGCCTATCATCAATATACCGTTGTGAGGTGGCGGCGGCTAGTATGCCTTTCTTTATATCACGACTATTCCCGTCACGTGGAGTCGCGTTTCCTTTTGGAATAATTCTGGAATCTTCATTGGCATTCGTATTTGTGAGGATCTTCGTTTTTATGCTCTTGTGACCACCATTCGATTCGTGCATATTAGATTGACACCTTTCACGAATGGGTCTTGTGGCGTTCGCGTGTTTGCAAACATTTACGCAATCCTCTTTACGCGTGTCGGTGTGCCTATCGCAATAGTTCTTCCCGTTATGATGCTTCAGTTTATGAATTTCATTGTCCCAGGGTACCTTGTCGTAGTCGTCTTCGTAATTTATCAATAATCTATCATTTGCGTCACCGCCGCGAACCATGAGCGCCAAATCTGAATGGCATTTTTTCATGGCGCTCTTGTCCATTGCATCATAAAAGGGTACATATTTAAACGCGTCGTAGAGGTCTTCTTTGGTTCGGCCGCACGGCTTACCATTGATTACGTTGTATTTGTTGCAACTCCTTTTGCATTTGATCGACGTTTTGACGTTTTTAACCAGAGACTTGAGAAGGAGAAGGTTTGAGGCCAATATCTGACTCGAGTACTTACCACTTTTGTGCCATTTTTTATCCATTAAGTTTTGATGATGTTGATAAATGTACCGCCACAGGGAGGTGTACAGGGTTGAAGGTATCATTATATCATCGAGGCATACCATGCCATCCCGATCCGGGCAACACTTTTGGCATATACTCTCGGGATAGAAATTGTGGTGAATGTCATTATTATGGGCGGGATGTATCAGACTTTGACTACAGCAAGGAAATTTGAGTAAGTAAGAAGAATGTCTCGTAGTAGGCAGATAATCGCCTTTCAAATGGCACCCATACGATTCGTTTAGAACTGTGGGGATACGCGGTTGCCTCATTTCGCCATCGCGATGGCAGATTCGGCAAGGCGTATTCGAACAACCCCCGCACCTGATAGGGTGAAACGAAGAATGAGGTCGGTTATAATGTTTTTCGCATATTTGCTCGCTCCCGACAGGATTGAAACTTTCCGTTAAACTTTTACTGATGCAAATGGGGTTTATTCTCTTTCCGCCAACGTTAGTAGCGTAATGTGAATTTAGTCTGGGTGGCGCGCGAATAGCGCAATAATGACATTTATCGTTACGATCGACGACAATTTGACTAGGCGGCTTCTCATGTATGTCTACGGAATTATCGGTATTCGAATTAAGGGGACATTTACACATTGAAGAGGGGTGCGGAGGCGATTTTACCAAGTTCTGCGTGAAAGATTCCAAGGATAATTTAATGTCCGATTGAGCGATTGGCTTCACTCTCCGGGCGTAGGGTGTCGCCTCTTTAGCGGTTTCGTAAAAATGTTTGACTCCCTCGTAATTATCCTTTCCGCAAAATTTTAAGGGTTTCACTTTACTCAATTCCGAACTCCTAAATGGGATATGAGTGACGGAACATATGGTTCGGGTTCTAGCGGGAGATTTTTTTGTTTGATCATCGGTGCCGTATAACCACGATGATTTTTTATGATCCATATTGTCCCGCCATTGATTTCCGGAAAAGGAGAGTGAGTGAGTTCTTGACGTTGAATCCCTAATTTTTTTAAAAAAATAAAATATTAATTAAACCAAATTGTTTAATTTAATTTTTGCGCCTTAAGTTAAATCTTCCACTTCTGCGAAAATGATGAAAATAGATAAAGTCCTAAAACGCCCATCAGATTATAATTATTCCGATATCATCAGAACCTACAATACCTATTGCACAGCTGTGACAGACTGTCAATATCAGAATTTTGATTTTTTAAAAAAAAACAATATAACATTGGAATAGCCTATTGGAACATATTGTCAGTGCTTTACGATAACCTATCTCCATAAATAAATAGCCATAGTAATATGCCCATTATTAAAAAAAAATAATTATCCTTTCAACCTCATCGTGGTGGGTGAGTGGCAGCGTCATTGGGCTGCTAATAAGAGGTCTAAAAGGTTCCCTGTGGTCTGGGTCTGACGGACCTGAAGGGGTTGATGTCAGGAAAGGACATCCGATTATAAAAACCTTGGTAAAAAATTTCCTAACAAATTAAATCAGAGGGAAAACGGCCAAAACCTGGAAATCGCCATTGAACAGAAAAGAAGAAGAAGAAGCAGAATAGAAACCCTCATACTTTATGTATGTGTTTATGGTTCTACTGATAATAAGTAATAGATATTGTGAAAATCTAATGTAAGAAAAAATGGAGAGACACATGATCCCTTGATTTCCTCTCAAAAACATTAGGTATGGGGGAAGGAATTAATATTATTTTAGTTATTATAGGGCAATGCAATCCACAAGGAGTGATTCCTGACTCTCTAGGCTAAGGCTAATACATCCTCCTGGAACATCATATTTGGAGAAACTACCCAATAGGACTTTATCTCAACCATATTTATCTTCCGCAAAGATTTAAACTAACGATACATTATTAAATTTTATAACTTTTTATTAGTTAGTTTAAAATATATAAATATACGATATTTACTCATTTCTCGAGGATTGGCTAGAACGAGTGTTGAGTGGCGTATTGGTCGCCGCGTATTTTAGGTCCAACGCTTGCGTAGACTTGTATTTTATAATAAAATGCAAAAAAAAATATAAATAAACGTATTGTTTATTTTAGCGGCTTCTTTCACGGCGGGTAGCAGCGATCGTCAGAAAAAATCCATGGAGTGGCGTGGGGGGGGGGGGTAGGAGAGTAAAACGCATGACCGATGTCGATAAAATTATCAGGGAGGTTAAAAAAAATTTTTGAATGAATTAATAAAATAGATATACTATGATATCTTAATCTCGTATCAATAAATAATCATTTGAGGTTTAGGTGGGGTTAGTGTAATTTCAGTTAGATTAGGAGCAAATGATTAAGGTTTGGAATCGGCTACTTATAAAAGACTCGTAGAAGCCGCTGGTTGAATCAAAAAAAAGAAGAGTATTACAAATACAATTTATTAGCCATAATAAATATACTATTAAAATATCGATCCCAATAATTTTTAGAGAATTTTAAAAATAGGAAGATAGGTTTAAGTATTATTAAGTGTATATATTACCGTTAGCGGATTTACGCTTGACTGAGATTGTACGGTGAACCAAGGGCTCGGACGACTGAGGGGGCTAAGAGGACTTCCGGCTAAAAGTTTGTGAATAGTTTTAGCTTCGAAAGGCGGCGAGTAATCGGTATGGCATTTTAAATTGAGGCTCGAAAAGGTTGAACTATATTTCTGGACATTATCGTGGACCGTATGAGTGGCAATTATGTCGTCGCATTTGCAGGGATGATTACCATCAAAAACGACGCTGGTATTAGAGAGCGAACATTTTAGGGGTCCGATGCTATCCCGAGACATCTTGAGACAGGAACTTTTCCTTAACGTAGATGATTGGTAATCGGATGTTTTATCTAACAGGGGTAGGTTAGCGATTCTATCATTTATTAACAATGAACCGTAATTTTGGTAGCTAATACTTTCTTCGACCACCGAAGGATCCATATCGAGGCCCAGCGGGTATTCAGCGTTAGACGGATTTTCAACCACGGTTATTAAAGAGGATGTTTGAGAGTCGTAAGAGTCGGTCATGCAATCGCCGACGTTAGTGTTCTCGTCTTCCGGAAACTCTTTATAGAGTCCACGGGTGTTCAGCTTCACGTTGCTTTGATTGAGTTGACTAATTGAACTGGAATTTACTTCAAAGTTATGACGTTTAGCCATTTTAAATGGCGAGTTTGTCGATAACATCTGTTTATTTGGGGTAGATGCGACGGGCGCACACTTATCAAAAATGGTGGTTGATACGGAGGGATTGTTATTGTTGCTTTCATTATTTATAATATTGGAGTTTCCTGTCCTATTGGGTTCCTCCAAGATAATGTTCAAGGAGGATACATTTGCCTTAGCCAAAGAAATTTTATTGTTCTCCGCATTATCGGCACTCCTCGTGGACTGAATAATAACCTCACCTACTTTATCGGAGAGAACGGAAGATCCAAGGATGCATCGAAGAGTGGATTCCACCTTCGCCATCTTATTTTCCATCCTGCTCATTTCGCTTCTCAGAAATCGGGCGCAAAGCAGCCTCAAAAGATGAGACTGTTCATTCCCCGTCGAGCCGCTCAGCCTATTGCAACTGTCACCAGTAACGCTACCGCCGTTACTAAAATACCCGCTCAAGCGATTGAGGCACTTGGACCCTTCTTGAAATCCGGAGTCGGTATTAATATTGGGTCCTTTGTAGTCATCTTCTAAACTGGGTGGCGCCTCTTCGTCGCTGCTAGAATATTCACCGGGGAGCGAGGGAAAGGATGACGGGGTCTGATCGAAAATGGATTCCTCCTTATAATCGTCGAAGCCTTCCAACCGTTTCCAGAATATGCACCCGTACGCCTTGTCCCGGAAATCGCTCCAGTCTTCCTTCAGCGCGTTCCATTCCCGCATAAAGTGGGATAAATTTTTCGAAAGCTTTTGATCCTTTCCAGCGTTACAGCTCAGAAAATCGTCTACCTTAAATTCGTTCTGCAGTTGGTCCAGCTAAAATAAATATTTTAGATATAAAAAAAAAAGAAATTCTAAGAACCTTCAACCCTAACCCTACTCCTTACAGAAATAATTCCTATGGACCTTAAGAAAACGTAGAACTGCGCTTAATTCCTCTTTTTTTATGCTACTTCCAGCGTTTTTGGCTTTTACCTAGCTCTAGGCAACTAAATGCTGTTAAACGGCTAGATTAGAGTATTTTAGCTTTAAAATTTATAGCACAGACCTCTTAGATTTGGCTAATAGATGTCCCAAACCCATTGAGCCAATCTATGCCAAAAATTCTTCGGGCTCGCGTAATATTTCTCTGGATAAGATTATTGAGTTCGTTCCTAATGGCTCAAATAGAGCCGTTTAAACAAAACTCAGCCATCATCTTTCCTAAGTTAATTTGATTTAGTTCCACCAGGAATAGATTAATAACGAAAGGTGAAGACTGGAAAATTAAATAACGGTTTTAGACACAAGTTAAAATACACTATATATATCAGAGACCTGCATAGGTACCATTTATAAGGCTCGGCCCGGCCCGGAAAAATTAAAATAAGGACCGGGTCGGGCTTTGGTCCGGGCCTGCGGTCTTTGATATATATATAGAAATAACAGAAAGTACAGAATATATAATAATAGCTCGGCCCAAACACAGCTGATTTCATAATTTCGAAACTTCACCTAGGTGTCGAAATGTTTTTAAAAAAATTCGATTTGGCGGGGAGGATGGGAAAGGACCAATAGGAAAATAGTAAAATAAATTTTTTAAAAAAAATATAAAAAAAAAATGAAAACTCTGTCTTCCAGAACTTTGACGTTGAGAATAAAGGGAACGATGACGTCATCGTCCGAAAAATCGCCGCTAAATTTATCGTTGACTAATTCGACGCTCCAACCTAAAAAAAGAAAAAGAAATTATTATTTTTTATTACGAATCGAAATGGCTGGTCGATAACAAACCGCTCTTACTACAAAAGGGGGGGGGGGTTATGACGCAAAACCGTCAGCTAAATTAAAGCGGGGGGTTAGGATATTGTCAAGATATCGTCATTCAAATAAAATTCGAGTTGGAGGGGGGGTTTACTAATTTTAATTTGTTAGGACTAAGAAATGATATCGTCATTGGTTTTGGGGGAGAGGTCAATTACGGCCTGAATTGATACGCTTAAAACCTTAAGCGTGATTATATATACATTTGTGGCGCAAAATTATTTGTTGCCCAATTTGTCCAGCTGGCCCTGCAAATCTTCTAGCCCGGCCCAACAGCTTTCGGGGCACGATAATACCGTATTACGCTTACGATTTCCGCCTTTCGAGTTTCAAAAAAAATAATATTAATAAAAATCCTCAATCCAACTCATTAAATTATTGCACTGAGGTCACGGTAATTTTTATAACAGAAAATCCTGACGCAAAAATCGTACTTAAAATATTCATGGGTGTTATAATAGGCATTAAAAATTTTGAAATCCAAACGCAGTTTTTAAAAGCGTTTTTTAAAGTTAAAAACGCTTCAACATTTTGGGGAAATGGTTATACTAACGAGATGAGAGTATTAAATTTCTTCTTGAGCATATATTTTTATGATTATATATACACATATAATTTAACACAAATTTATTCATAATTGTAATTATATGGGGAAGGAAGCTAAAAATGAATGTGAAATTATTTTTTTAAGAAAAAAAATTAACTAAATTTTTATCATAAATTCTTATTTTTAAAAATACAACGAACTCCAAAAAATTACAACGAAAAATTTATATATACTTTTTTTAATTTAAAAAAATTTAAAACACAGCCTAATTTTTTTTTTAAAAATTTTTTATTTGTAAATATCTTTTTAAGATATAATTTAAAGAGAAGAGAAAGAGAAAGAGAAAAAGAGAAGAGAAGAGAAGAGAAGAGAAGAGAAGAGAAGAGAAGAGAAGAGAAGAGAAGAGAAGAGAAGAGAAGAGAAGAGAAGAGAAGAGAAGAGAAGAAGAAGAGAAGAGAAGAGAAGAGAAGAGAAGAGAAGAGAAGAGAAGAGAAGAGAAGAGAAGAGAAGAGAAGAGAAGAGAAGAGAAGAGAAGAGAAGAAAATGTTTTTTTTTTAAAAAATGAAAAGTTAAGAAAAGAATAACAAGAAAAGACAAAAAATAGAATAGACAAAAAAAAGGAAAAAAAATATTTTCGTTTCGTTTGTATAAATACAAGATTAAAAGAATTATCTGGTTATTTTTTTACAAAAAATACTTTATTTTTAATATTATTATTAGATATACTTTTAATATCCTATGCCAAAAAACCAACTAAAATATGTATATTTTCTTATAATTTTCATATTGCCTTTTCGAAAACAAGAAGGAAAAAATAAAAATAAATCAATAATTTCAGCTATAAAATGACTTTTTGAATTAAAAATTATTCCCCGATGAAATAAAGGAATGAAAATGTAGAAAAATTTGATAATATTAAATATTTATTTATGCTAGAGATCTGCAAAAGTAAACCCGGCCCGAACCCGGCCCGAACTCGACCCGGCCCGTATAAAATAAATTTCGGGCGGGCCGGGCTTAAAAAATTAGGCCCGAAGATCACGAATTTATACTATAAAATGTCGAAAAACTCCTCAAAAAATTAGTTTAGCGACAGATAATTTCCATAAATTGGTATAAATGGGTCGGTGAACAGAGCCGAATTCTCTGGATCTGAGTTGGGATTTAGTCCTGTCATGTCATTTAGAATTTATAACCAGGTATGCTAGGGCTGGGGTAAGTTAAACCCTTATCAAGATATCAACTTATATCATGATTACTTCGTAAATATTTATCAAAATCCAAAAAAAAACCAATATTTGGTCTGAATGGTAAAAGAAGAAGACCTTAACTTCCCGACATCTAAAATGCTAAGTATTGACCTAATATTACATTGGGGGGGGGGGCTGACATTATCCCTGATATGCCATTATACTGCTTTTCATTTGATTGGTTAATGAGAAATGGTATTTAAAAAAAAGTAGGAGCCCAAGAACAAAGGCCTATTTAGGGGATAAACATATGTAACGTAACAACTAGAGTCACTAGTATAGTGGTGGAGTCATTATAATAACACTTAAATTGGAATCAAGCCCTTAAAAGTGGAGTTCAATAACATAATCATAATTAAAAACACACTCACTCACTCATACTTTCTAATTACTAGTTATATTATCAAACCGCTAAAAAAAGGGTTAATCCAGAGAAAAATATTCCGGAAGTCTGAATATTTTGCTCCCACAAAAATAGTTTGGAATCTATTGGCGGAATCTCTAGGAGGAATCTCTAGGCGGCTTTAGGCTATATTTACATCTGGCCAAGAATTTGAGTTAGCCGTTTTAGATGGGCTCAAAGCGAGCCGTTTTAACTACGCTAACTGAGACCTAAAAAAAATTGCTTTAAAATTTTTGTCAAATCACACTAAAAATAATAATATAAATAGAAAAATTACCATATTTTATTAATATTTTATAAGTGACATCTGTGCTGTCTTTTAATCGTTATAGAATGACTAATATTAGAGATGCCATAAATTAATCATAAAGTATAAATATTAATCCTAAAAAATATGCCTGAAATTTAAACTTGAATGAAATTAAAAGGTTTTATGTTTGACTTTGAGTTTAAATTAAAGACCTACCATTCCATCTTTCAAAATTTTAATAGGATCAAATATCTTTGGGATCTAAAATATAGTCCTTTTTGGAATTCTCTTCAGCCCAAATTTCCATTTTAAAAAAAAATCCTCAAAAATGAATTCCTCAGCCGGGTGAGACTTTTTCTTGGAAGAATGATCTTACGTTAAATCGAATAGATGTGGGGTCTTTAGAAAACCCCTTATAATTTTTTTTTTTTACAATAATCATATTCTGATTTCGAATTGAATAATCTGATTATTCTTTTTAAAAAAAATTTAACTTTTCTTGTGGAAGGGTGGCGTAGCTTTAGCGGGATCGCCCATGGAAGGGGAGCATTGAAACGACGACTGGGCGTATTTGAGGAAGTCGGAATTGTTCAAATATTCTTCGCATTTTTGCTGGGGAGTAACGTTAACGAAATTGACAACGCGATTAGGAAAACAACGCGTTATTTGGGACCGATCTGATGGCGGCTCATTCAAAATCTGCAGCTCTGGTCCTGACCCGTAAGAACCGCCCAAATTTAACGGTTTTTCCGCGCCCACATTTTTAGCCCTATAACTAATCTCATTGGCCATAGGTGTTTGAGAGTGAGGCATCATCAAATTCCTGAGACTGTCCTCCACGAAACAGGAGGAGAGCCGCGAGCTGATGGACGGCGATCTGGAGTCCCCGCTATTACTCAAGAGGGCTTCTCTCAGCACGGGTCTCCAATTGCGAATGGTTTCTTCGTTCGCGCTATTCTGCAAGGAAAGTTCGTCGATTTTTACCTGGGCTCTGGATAGCCGGATCAGCAGCTCCTTGTAGGAATCGACGAGGGCCGCATTGGGTTCCGATTTTTTCTCGTAATTTCCGAGAACTCTGAGAATTCCCGTCCCGCGATCATTGGGTCCTTTGGAATCGTGGCGGATGGAAGCGTCAGGCTCGACGAGTTTCGTGGTTTTGTCGACGGCGTTCATTTTTTTATCGGCGCGATCATTTTGCGGTTGTTTATCGGGTAGAATTCTAGGGTTAGAGTTCACCGTGGCGAGCTTCGATTTGGATTTTCGGTGCTCGCGGAGATGCAAGGAATCGGGGCGTTTAATAGCTAGCGGATCGATAACTGCTTCCTCCCGATTTTTATTGGCCGCCACACGGGATTTGACGAATGTAGTAGCGTTCACGTCACTACCACCACGTTTTTCGGAGGGGAACGGGACCGAATGGGTCGATCCCCTTAATCTGGGCACGTCAAGTGTCGCGGAATTCGTCAAAATTTTTAGTTGTTTGTCATCCATCATAATTTTATTTTGTGTTTTTTTTTCGATCGTTGAATAAAGATTAAATAAATCTAAAATAAAATTAATGTTTAAAATTTGTAAATAAATTTTTTAATAAAATATAGATAATTTTTTTTATTTATCGATTTCGTTTAAATCAAATATAAAAATTAAAAAAATTATATATTTTTTGATCAATTTTTTAAAAAGTTTATATATATATAGCTTTTAAAGCATAAAATTATTTAAAAAATGTTTTTTGCTTTGATTTAAATTAATTTTTGGCTAATTTAGAGCTGGCGACTTTATACTTTGAATACGTGTTAAAACGCTAGATTTGAAACATTTTTTTGTGAAATTAAAATTTTTTTTTTTTAACATTTATTATATATATAAAAAATAATTAAAATAAATATTATATTTTTAATAATTTATTTAATATTATTTAATTATTTTATTTATTATTATTTTTTAAAAAAGTTTTTAATTTTTTTTTTCCACTTCATTTTCAAATTTTAAAAAATATTAAATTTATATTCTGGCCTCGTTGGGGGGGGGGGGGGAAGAGAATTTATATCTTAAAAAATCTGGGGGGTGGGGAGGAGGAATGGGAGAAGGAGGGAGGGGGAGATCACGTGATTAGGATTTGGATAAATCCGATTAGAATTCATAATGTCCATTTTTTCCCGCCCTTTTGTCCGTTGATACCAGAATTAATATACGCAACCTATTATGTTTGCGGGGACCCGGAGTGAACCGTAACGAACCGTTAAATTATTATAAACCGTTATCCGTAACCGAACCGTTAAACCATTATAAACCGTTATCCGTAACCGAACCGATAAAATTATTTTTCGAAGGAGTAAAAAGAACCTTTATAAATTTCTTCTCTTAAGAACCGTAAACGGTTCGGATCCCTGGTTTTTTTTGTCGAAAGAAAAAGAGTTGTTTTCTCGTTTACCTAACTTTCACATTAGAAAACTTAGATAACTGGGAAATTTTTTTAAAATCAATCGTTATTGCGTGATTATCCTTGAATATACGATCAATCTTAAAATGTTTGATAATGCTAGAAAAGTAAAAAAATATTTAACGAAAACAAAAGATTTAGTAAGTAATAGTGTTCTCAATCGTGGCTTTGTTAAACTTTTGGCTCTAAAAAATGGAATTAAGCCACCAATTTAAGTCTCAACTTGAAGATCGATTGGAATATTCTTGATTTAAAAACATGGCTAAAGTCTCAACTTGAAGATCGATTGGAATATTCTTGATTTAAAAACATGGCTACTCTGTTTTATAGTTGACTAAAGTTAGGGTAGTTTAACAACACTTACACTTAGTAAGTAGTAATTATAAAAAAAAAATATGAAAATTACTTTTAAAAAGATATCTCTTTTTTTTTTACTACTGTCCTTCCCCCGGTTCGTGATAAAATAACACACAAATAATCGATAAAAGAAGATAATAAAAAAATGTAATAAAATTTGGCTTTTTCTTTCTCTTAAGATTAATCTCCCTAGCGTGTTTTTTTTTGGAGAAAAAATTTTTCTTCGTTTAAAAGGAATTTAATTTTAAAAACAAATATATATATATGGGGGGGCTATTTTCAATTTTTTTTATTTGTGTTTTGTGTCACCAATCGATAATTTAGTTTGACAATGAGTAATAATAAAATAAGACAAATTATTTTATATAAATATTTTATATATAATATCCCTTACATCATTATTAAAATTTATTATAATCATTTTAAAAAAAAATTAATCAAGTGAAGATAAAAATTGATTTGATTTCTAGGTTAAACAGATGGTTTCATTATAATAAAAATATATTAAGTGTTAAGCTAAGTATTAAAAAAAAAATGAGAATTAAAGAATTAAATAACCAATAAATATAAAATTTAATGTAAAAATATTTTTAATATAGTTACTGGTTATGACATTGTTGAAGCTTAATATTTAGTCCGATTTCTAAATCAGTTGAATCGAAAAATTTTAATTTATTATATTCAACGAAAATAAGCAATATTATATATCATTTCGCTAACAATACTGAAATATATTATAAATAGAAGAATTAAGTCAGAAAACTATTAAATAAATGAAGAAAAAAATTTTTAAGCGCGCAGGCCCATATCAATTTTTTTTTCTTCAAAAACCCGAGCACGGCTAGAAAAATATAAATATTAGGGCCCCAAGTCCATGGGGCAGGATATGGACATATGAACCGGGGGGGCAGGTTCGGCCCACGAAGGTCTCCGATAAACAAAGATCGTTTTTAGAGATGTTTTAAATTATTTGGGTAAATTCTAAACTTTATTAAACTTTAAAAATTCGTTATAAAATATTACAAAACGGTGAGGGTTGTGGGGTGAGGAGGTAGGTCTGCACCCGCCCCCTCCTTACCCCCTCTTTTAGTCCCTCCAGTGACGTGGGAATGGGGGGGTTATGGGGGTTCAATCCCCCCCCCCCCTATGAAAAATGAAAAAAAAAATTTTTTTTTTAATTAAACGCTTGATTTTTGTGTTTTAAATTTATTATAAATAATAATAGATAAACACAACACATTTCATTATTTTTATATTTATATTTATTAAATAAATTTTATATTATTTTGCATTTCATAAAAGTTGTCTATTTTTTCATATTTAGGTTCATATGATAAGTTACGATGTCGAATTTTGGTTTAAAAATCTTGACAAAATAGGGTATTCTTTGAGACCAAAAAATGCTCTGCAGGCCCTTTCCATGTGTAATTGCATTTTAGATTCCCTGCCTAATATCAAAACATTATTAATTATTTTAAATACCTTGCCAATTAGTACCTGCACTAATGAAAGTCTTTTTCAACTTTAAAAAGGCTAAAAACCTATTTAAGAAACATAACCGGTGAAAAACTTTTAAATGGATTACCCCTATTGAATATTTATAAGGAGATTATTTTAGATAAAAAATTTGATTCTAGATGAATTAGCAAAGTCTCAGAGAAAAGTAGATCTCTCTTTTTAAATTCAAATCAAAAAATAGCAATAAAATTTTATTAGTTTTAATATATAATCAATTTTTTTTTGTAAAAAAAGTATTATTTATAAGATAATCATATTTTTTTTAAATACCATTATTGGCATAAGAATTACACATATTTTATATAATTATAAAAAATCACTTTTTATTGAATAGAGTTTTTTTACATTATAATTTTTAATATTAAAATCTGTATTGTATAAAATATCAACATTTTGAAAATATTTTAATTAATAAAAATATATACATGGTTAAATAAAGGAATGTAAAATATATAATAAAATACCATAAAATTTTGATATATGAAAATATAAAACTATTTTAACAAATTCAAAAATATAAGCAATTAAGTGTTCAAAAAAAATAGGAGAAACCCCCCCCCCCCCCATGATAAAATCCTGGCTACGCCACTGAGTCCCTCCCTTCTGACTGACGACAATGAAATGAAGTATTCTTATAGTTAGAACAATAATAAATACAAATTATTTATAAAAAAAAAATTATACAAATTGTTTACATATTTTTGTAATCCCGATAAATTTTATTTTGAATTTGAATTTCTTTATTTATTGCATAAAGTTTTGAGTTACACACATCCTCTTCACATCCCTCACAGTCATCTCCCAAAGTTTATAAAAATATTGATTTTGACATATTAAAAAACACAATCTTTTAAAAAATATAATTATCATATTTATTAACAAAACTAAATCATTCATTATCAATGAGATCTCAAAGTGACATACTTTCCCCAAGAATTTTGAGCATTAAATTTTATCGTAAAAAAACAATTAGAGATTTTTTATAATTTTTTTGTATTTTTCTTATTGGATTTTTTCATATGATTTAAATTATTTAATGAATGAATTTTTTATTTAAATTATAATAAAAAACAGTTGCTTTTTATATGTTATTTTGTTATACTTTTTTTTAAAAAAATCTTTCTTTAGTTTTTTTTATGTGTATTATAAAGGTTAATTTTTAATTTACGGTTATTTATATTTTTATTTAGCTATTTTCAAAATAAATGAGGATATCTTTCTAAACATTTTTGTTGTTGTTTGTTGTTGTTTAGATGCAAAATAAAAAGGCGTCATTGTGTCCCCGCTAAATTCCGCTACCCTAAAGTTATAACTCAGAGACCGAGAAAAAGATTGGCTATTCTATACGGCACAAATGATAACTTATGCAATTAGGAATTTGGCGAAATTCTTGCGATATTGCTAGAGTTTATACAATTTTATTAATTTCCTTCTTTTTTTTTGCCACGGAGATTATTATTAAAAAAAACTTATAAAAAACATATGTAGGTGCATCGAACCTTGGGTTTTATTGTTATTTTAATATTTAATCGGGAACAACATTACGCAAACCCGAAAATTTTGGTCATAGATGACACAAAGGTTTGGACATCTACTTGATTCATAGACCTGCAGGCCAGGTCCTAAGTCCTGGTACACGGGTTAGTCGTACCCTAATTTTTTGAATATATCCGAGCCGGCCCTAATTTATTTTAAATATCCGGGCCGGGATTGAAAATATAAAACCCGGGGCAGACCCGGCCTTGCAAATGGTATCTCCACCCGATTTTTCCTATTTCATTTTAAAGTTTTGGTCTTCCTTCTCATCTCGTTTACCCGTCACTTTCTAAATTCTTAAACCTCGTTTCCTGTACAATTTTTAGTCCTTTTCGTCATATGTTATTACCACTTGTTAACCATAAATTTTGACTTCCCAGTAAATATTTGTATATTTCGTATCTGATTCTTTTTTTTTTGATATCCACTGCTATCAATTTTTTTTTGACCTGGACATGAGGGCTCAATTCCTCCAAAGGCTCCTCGAAAGAGGACCAAAGCCCGCACCAAAAATCTGAAAGAGTATGAGAATTGAGGAATAAGTTTTTAAATGTATACGCGTTTATTAAAATAAAGTAAATATTTATAAAATTTGGAGAGTGAGAGGGAGGTCGGGGGGGGGGGGAGGGAGGAATACATAAATAACTCTTCATTGCTTCTACCAAGAGTCGACATCCTCTACATTATGCTGTATAAATTATCTCTTATTTTGGCTAAAATCTCTTGGAGAATAAGGATTGAAATTACAACTTAATACCCAGTGGTATGAATCTTAATGCTTTAGTGCAATGGATCTACTCATATCTGAAACTATGCCTGTTGGGTTGTAGTTACTAATTTTTATTTCCAGTGTTAAAAGTTTTATTTTCCATTCGTTTATCATATAGAGATAATATAAAACATATTGAATAAATAAACCTTAATTATAAAAAAATTCAATTTTTATTTTTAAAAAAATAAAAATAGATTTTTATTTGGAACAAAAATCAAATTTTTATTGTAATTTGATAATAAAGGAGTTTATCGTTATATATATCATATACAAATTTATACAAATATTAGTAAAAATTTTATATACCTATATAATAAATAACATAATAATTCACCTTTAAAATAATTTTTTCATAATTTTAAATATATTTTTAAAAATTTTTTTATAATATATCTAAAAAAAAAAGGATTATAAAAAAACACAGATATAAATTTCATTTTAGTTTATGATAGATTCCTTTAACGATGGTTTCAAATGATCTTTTGCGCTCGTAACAAATTCCTTACATTTATCATAATATTGATCGTATTAGATGTTGTTAGATCTTTCATCGATTCGGGAGCCAATCAATTTTTGAATGGGAAAACATCCGAAGGTAAGAAATTTATCCATCTAAATCAGTGTTAACCGGCTAGTTTTGAGCCGATTGTTTAAAAACGGCTAACTCAATATTTTAGCCAATGGTCTGAGCTTTGAATTTCGCTGATAGATGTCCAGCCGTTCGTAAAAATTGGCTTAAAAACGGCCCGTTTAACAACACTACATCTAATAATACGAAACATAATTAATTTGCGCTCTTGACTGAAGTGTGAATAATATATATATATATATACGTTTTTTTTCGCGGTATAATTAATATCTACAATAAAAAAAATAATTTAATCAATGGTTTGGAAAAAGTGAATTTAAAAATATTCCTTATTGATTTTTGTTTGGAGTAGGAGAAGGATAAGGGGGGGGGGGGTGGAAGGCGGAAGGAGGAAGGAGTGGTATATCATGGCATATTTATTATTATTTCACGGACTATTAGACTTCTTTTTTTCCCCGCTGTCGTCTTTGCAAGATAACGAACAAGTGTATCACCTTTTAGTTAGATACTCATGAAACTTTAATTTTGCGATAACCTCAAATATTTGTAATTTCTAAATGTAATAAGTAATGGTTTTAAACGGCTCGCTTTGAGCCTATATTTTATCTAGAATAATATTACGCAAGCCTTGAAGATTTTGTTTGTAGAAGTAACAAAATCCAGAGACTTAGTCAATATTTTTCTAGCTCAAATAGCGAGTTAGCCGTTTTTAAGGCCATGTGTTAATATAAATTTACTACTGAGTTTGTAAAATATGACTTTTTTTTAAAAAAAAAAAAATAAAAATTTTGAACTTTAAATAATAAAAACACTTATTTTTTTAGATTTACTAAATTCGGTTCACAATATAACTTATTATCAATTCTATTTGATTTTATATAATTGGTATTTAATAAATAGTATGATAAGATTCTAAAGAGATAAAATAACAGCATATCAAAGAACCAATTACGTTAGATCTTCCTTTCACAATGATATATAAATATATAAATATATAAAATATACAACATCTTTGCTTATTTAAGAATAGGATACCTCTAAAAGTCAAGTAAGTATCTTTCTAAGTAACGGTATTTTTACAAATCTCTCCAAAATATCAAACTATTATTATTAAAACATTAAGTCAATCAACCTTTCTTTTTACTTCCTATTATTATTATTATTATGCTTGATTTTTGTTAACTCCTGTAAATTTCTAATTGAATCTCAGATAAAACAAAAAAAGGAAGATTGCTCAATTTCAAATTTTAGCAATTGTTCCACGGATCAAAGTAACTTTAACTTTCGAATCACGAAGAGCTGATTACTGGCACCTCTCAATCATATGTGTACCATTCTTATCAGAGTTTTATTAACGTCTAATTTATAAATCCTACCAGATCATTTCTTCAATATTCCTTGAGAAAGATGTTTAGCATGTTTAATAATTCTATTCTTGGCCAAAGATATGAAGGGGGGGGGGAATTTTCGGGGTTCAATTTGACTTTATCCTATATCATCTTTACAAAATGTTTTACCTTTTCATTCGGTTTAACATTTTCTTATAATTTTTAGAGCTTCCAAATATCATAAATTAATAATCATGAAAAGATAGGCTAATATACTGTAATAAAAACCATCCAACACCGTCAAAATCTAGGGAGCCATCTCTCCCGACCTTAAAGGATTTCAATAAATCTTATCAATAGTTACGTAGCATTGATCTCCCTGTTCTGCGTATGCCAAAAACACTAGTAAAAATAAATGGACATACACTAGTATTATGATATATCACCCACCCTTTAGAGTTAGGAGCGCTGCTAAAAATATTCTAAAGGGTTCGTATCCGATATACTAATAATGTAAAGGTGGGGTAAAGTTTCCAGGGAATTTAAGAAACATTTTTCTGGAAACGTTCCCGGGTGGGAACTATATTTAAAATTTATTTCGATAATTTTTAGGAATATTCAAATAATTTAAAAATATCAGAAAGAAACGAAACAATAAACTTAAGAAAGATCACAATATTTTTTTTTATTTATCTTTAGTCAATTTAGGACATTTTTTTTTACTGAATCTCCCAAAATACCAGAGTTATTTCTAATGTAACTTGTCTGTCCGGGAGCATGTTTAGTTTAAAATTTCCAGGAGTTTCGTATTGGTAATCCGAAGTTTCAAGACAGTATTATGTTCTGAGGCTCTAACTAAAAACAGTAAACTTGTTCTATGGATTTAAAAAAAACAAAGCTCAAGAGATATGCCTACTTACTTTATGCTAGTATACTTGCATCGCATCGCATTACCATATTTCCAACACTCATACGAAAATCAACATCATAAAAGAACTATCTTTCGTAAGGGGAGGTTAGGAGCCATTTGTTGTCTTTGAGGGGTTGTAACAAATAGAGGGTGACATACTAATTCATAAGTCAAGCTTGTTGACTTCAATTTTATCTATCTCATGTAGACCACAAGCATTAACGGACAACAATGGGAGAAATATAAATATTCCTCAATAAAATATTTTCAATTGTTATTTGTCAATTTTAGCTTTGGGGTAAATTCGTTCAAGTAAGCATTGGCTTTCCTGAGGAAATCAAGATATCGGCACATTCAGGGGATCGCTAAAATGATAGGCTTGGTAATATGCAAAGCAATTATATTATACTAGTATATATATATAATATCAAAATTGTGTAAAATTGTTACACCGTCAGATTGTATTGAAATGAGGCAAGCATCCCACCTCTGGTCACACATTTTAGAGATGCTATAAACAAATTTAGATTTTGTATTTACTTGAAATACTATATATATATACAATACAATCAAAGTGTTTATAATCTATCGGGAGAGTTTGAGCAAAGCCATCTTTAAAAAAACAATAACAAATAGAAATGTCTTTATAACATACTTGCACCTCAAAAACTTCCCGTTTAAAATATTTTTGCTGTCCTGTCGATACTATGAGATCTCCGGCAGCAATCTTCATTTAAAAAAGACTAGCTTCTCTATCGCGAATCACAAATATCACATGATTATACTTGGTTTTCAGGCCTCACTTCTATAGTAAATATGGCGGTGTCGCTTGGAACTTGAAAGAGTTTGCATAATCATCGAAATGTGTATAATCTTTCCAT